CTGTGCTGTGCCTGGGGGTGAGGCTGGGGTGTGGGACTGTCTGTGCTTGTTAGAAGTCTGTGATTTGCTGCTTGATGTGATTGTATTGTATCTTTTCATACCTGTAAACAAATTCCCAGAAAAATATAACTTGCTGTCTATAATCATTTCCTTTTTTGAAAACTGCATGAAAAACAAGTTGACTTGGCTGAATGAACAGTTTACTGTGTAAATGGCAACTTCTTTTTAGGAAAACAGAACAAATCATGTGAAGCAAAGCAAAGTTCACAGTACTTTACAATTCTTCCACTGCATTGTTGTCCAGCTGCATTGACATAACTTTAAAAGGCAAAACAGCTTCACGTTAATATTTTCTTCATAAAGTCTAGAAATAGAAAAAGATACAGATGAAAGTGTTTTTACATACAGGGTGTCTTTTTAAAACTGTATCTGAAGCTCTTTAAATGATTCATGGTCCTCTGGGAGAAGCTGTTACAATGAGGAATTGAGCGGAGCAAGACCAGAGCTGTTCGCATTGCCTCTGAAGCAGGTGCAGCTGGCCAGGCAATATGAATGCGAAGGGGGTGGCAGTGGAGCTTCCTGCAGAGTGACCTGTCTCTGGTGTGTGCAGGGGGACTACGTGCTGGCTCGCGTGTACTACGAGAAGGCCCTGCAGCTGTCTCCCGGCAGCAGGCTGCTGAAGGAGAACCTGGCCAAGCTGGACCGCTTGGAGAAGCGGCTACAGGCGTGAACGGGACCCGGAGCCCTGGTGTCTCTGGGCCCAGACGAGCCGGTCCTGGAGCAGAAGGGGAGCACAGAGGGCCGCGCCAGAACAGCAGCGGGGACAGCGCCTGGGCACCAGGCTGTGGCAGTCCTAGTGGCCGGGGTACCGGCGTCCCGGGACAGGTCTGGAGGAAGAATGCGCCAGCAGGCTTTCCTCTGCAAGTCATAAGAAGTCTGCTTCTGAATATATAAGCTGAGCACACCTAATCTTAAAAGCCTCAGTGGCTTTTCCAGCAGTTTCATCTTTGTTTTTGCTAAAGGAACTTAGCAGGAACCTTAATGAAGAACAGACTCTTTGAGCTTAAAAATCAATGAAATACCCAAGCTATGAAGAGGCATAGGACTATTTTTGAAAATGCTCTGCAGTGCTAGACATGCTGTTGTGGAATAAAGGGTGGGCACTACAAGTGTTTCCTTCCCTCATACGTTTCTGACCAACTGGGGTTGTGTTTCTGGAAAACCAGGAATGGGAATCGTCACTGCGCACAGTAGATGGGTTTTCCACCTGTGGATTCACCAGCCT